GGCAGTAGATAGCGGCAATGGCAAGGTTGCAGTTGCCCAACTGTAATTTTAACGATGTAGCTTGCAGATGAAAGTCGTGTTTGACGCGGTCTCAGTTCCGCCATGCGCTTTACCATCTGGATGATCGGGGCCGTAGAACGTGTATTCCCGTATTTGAAAGTTATATTTGCTGGTAAGATGCGTTTTTGCCAGCAACATCACGTCGATGTGGTTTTCGTTCAGAAATTGAGTTATTTCAGGTCTATGCTATGGTCTGCTGAGCTGCAAGCATTTGTAACAAGATATTTTGGTTTTGCATAAGGGTTTGCATGGTGGTTTTCATGAAGGACATAAATATTATCATACTTTGTTGCAAAGTAATGATCATAGATTCCATGTTATTTTGTTGCTGTTCCATGGCCTGCTGGATGTTATCAATTTTCGGCTCTATGTGAGCTGTGCCTGATCTTAGAGCACTGGCGTAAGAAATTCTGTTGGTGGTAATTGAAGGACCAAATGATGATCTGGCTGCTTTTACGAAGAAAACTTCCGGTGTCGTTTGTGATCTCATGTAAGTGTTTTGTGTGTTCAGGGAGCGTGCCGTTGTCGCTCGTTGCATCTGACTTTTCATCACCTTGTAGACTGGACAACCTCTGTAGTTTGATGTGTGGTTTCCTTGGCAGTTTACACAATTTTTAGTGAGAGAGTCTTCCTTGTTGGCAGGGCAGGGTTCGGAGCCGTGGCAGTTTCCACAAGCTACACATACTGACCTGAGGGTGCAGTAAGCCCTGGTATGACCGTATTCCTGGCAATTTGTGCATTGCACTGGCCTGGTCCGTTTGTGCGACTCTTCGACTGTGATCCTACGGTGCAGAAGGTAATGCAACTTGTAGATTGGGTGCACTGCGTTTTTTTTCAAAGTTCTGCTGTCTGACTCCAGCTCGACCTTGAAGAGTAGTTGCGGCTTCTTGTTCTTGTTCATAATGTTTATAACATTTTTTGCGCAAAATCCGTTTTCTTTTAAGACCTCTGTAATTTCGGAGGGGGTCACATCGGGTTCTATTCCCTTGAGCACAATTTGCAAACCTTTGCAACTTTTCAGCTGGTACGTGTAGTAATTCTTTTTGGCATCGTTTAAGTACTTCGACACTGCTCGGAAATAGTCTTCGGTTTTGGTTAATTTATTCCCTTTCATAAGCGGAATAACATGAAAGTTATCTTTTTCGACAAGCTCAACTATTTTGTTGACTAGGGCATTCGAGATATTCTCCCGAGAATAAATAGGTAAGAGCTTTAGTTTCCTTGGGACTAATTGTTCAGACTCTGCTTCAGGCTCCGCCAGAATGGAAAATCTATTTTCATCTAATGGCCCGGGATTTTCATTTATCCTTTTTCGTCCCAAGAAAATGTAAATGCAATGCTTCCGCAGATGTTTTCCACATAAATATCGAACACAATTGAAAAAAAACCACCATAAATCTGACATCCGTCTTCCAACAAATTATCGAATGGTGTACCTACTCAGGATACTCCATGTCAATATAAAATGTAAACACATATACGTATGCCGCAAAAACAACTGCAGAGCAAATATACATATATAGTGGCCCCCTAACTATCGCAGAAACTATCACCACAAAAATTTTAGGCCTCACCATTAACAATAGATACAACTGGTCCACCCACATACACAAATTAAAAGAAAGCCTTTGCAAAACATCATCAAAAACATCTCTTCCTCAAAATACAACACAACACCTCTTAACTTATCCAAATTATTGAATTCTTTCTAATTTCTAAAATTGACCACGGCGTACCTAAATATGGAAGCGCATCAGCACACCTTATTAACCACGTAAAAGCCATCTAAAAATGGGGAGCATTCCAAACTACACCAAGTAACAACCTACTTATTGAAGCTAACTTACAGAACAGATTTTTTAACAGCTAAACTATCAAAAAAACTAATGCAATCCTCCTTAGTAATGTAAACAAGACCACAGAAAAAAATTTAAATACCCAAGTGCAATTAACCACTAACCATACAACATATAGACTGGTCATTTCATACAACGAAAATGGTCACAAAATTTTTGAATCGGGAGGCCCCACAGCTGGTAGCGGCAGGCCCCGGACATGATACAATAACATAAGGTAGTCTCGCCGGCTTTCTAAACGTTCGGGTTTTGGTCAGTGCGTGTTCGTCTTTCGAAGGGAAAGGTTGTCTGCGGACGAATTTTTTAGGAAATTAACCCTTGAGCAACATGACATTTTGCAATGTGTGCCGCAAACACGTCGATGGCTTAAAATGTAGTAGTACTTATGTAGTTGAAGTGTCTCACGGGGGACTCATGAAACCGTCTGCCCAGTTCGTTGAAAAAATAAAACAATTAGAACATATATTTGTACACTACATTAACGATACTTTTAAGATAACTAAAAATGTAAAAGAAACTTTAATAATCGCTGCTGAAAATGTTAGAATAAGTTTAGACATAAAAAGTTTTATTTTAAGATTAGAATATATTTTAGAATTAAGAATCTTAACAATAGACTCAGTACTCAGAGACAAAAACAACGCCTAATTTCAAATTCAAAATTATTAAAAATTAAATTATAAAAAAAAATTAAAATTAAATTATTATGAAAGGCAAAAAAAAACCCCCCTGAACCATCTAAGCGTTAATCCACACATTCTATTGTCGCTCTGCTCGCACTTACTAAACAGTTCCCATCTCACTCGCACTCATTGTTATAATAGTGAGGTACCAAAATTTTGCCGACGAGACTACCTTATGCTATTGTATCATGATCGAAATGAAATGATCGCACACATGCACCCCTGTATGAGAACGCATGAACGCGCATACATACAAAGCCCAATTCAAGCGCAGGGCAACCTTCTTCAAAATGCGCGTCTCTGCGACTGAACGACCGAACTCGAGTAATGAGCGCGCGAGCGTCAAAATGAGAATTAGAACAAGAGCGAAAAAAACGCGAAAGCACACGAAGTGTCCGGGGCCTGCCGCTACCAGCTGTAGGGCCTCCCGATTCAAAATTTTTCTGACCATTTTCGTTGTATGAAATGACCAGTCTATATGTTGTATGGTTAGTGAATTAACCTAACAATTCTCAATCAAAAACTACCCTAATAAAAAATACAACATGGAATTAATAATCAAAGCTACAAACACCGATCTTTCCAAGTACAGCAAAGACAACACTTCTCCAATTATTTGTACATAATTTCAAACCCTAACGAGGACGGAAGCTAACTTCGGCAAGCCGAAGTTTTAATACCCTTGCAGACTTTGACGAAATTGCTAAAAGTGAAAAAGTAGCGAACGGAATAAGGTATACATAAGTAAACTAGATTTGCATCGTTTCAAGTCAATTGCTTTTATACTGCAAAAATGTCATATACAAAAGGGATACTTTCGCAGCCTTTAACAATTTTTCCTATCTCCTTTAAGATATAGACTTCCGAGCGGCAAGCGCTTTTACCCTAATCAAGAAATGCGTAAATAAATAAGAATTGGAAAATTTTATGTTAGTAGCTTACACACTGCGCGAAATATTCTGATAATCATCAAATTTGGACAGATTTCATCATATGGGAGCTATAGGATATAGACGTCCGATCGGCACGCGCTTTCACCTTGATCAATGTATGCATAAAAAAATAGGATTTGGAAAGATTCATGTCAATAGCTTGAATACTGCGTGAAATATCCTAAAAATCATAAAATTTTAACCGATTTTACCCTTTTGTTCCTATGGGAGCTATAGGATATAGACGTCCGATCGTCATGCGCTTTTACTCTGATCAAGGTACGCATAAAAAAAAAGATTTGGAAAGATTTATGTCAATAGCTTTTACACTGCGCGAAATATCTCCCATTCTTGCACGTTATATCCGATTGTTCCTATGGGAGCTATAGGATATAGACATCCGATCGGGGCGGTTTTCAAACTTGATCTGCGTACACTTGTTTTAGGACGACTGTGAAAGTTTCAGATCGCTAGCTTTTAAACTGAGCTCGCAAACGGTATTGAAACAGACGGACAGACGGACGGACGGACAGACGGACAGACGGACATGGCTATATCGACTCCCCTACTGATCCTGATCAAGAATATATATACTTTATAGGGTCGGAAACGTCTCCTTCACTGCGTTACAAACTTCTGACCAAAATTATAATACCCTCTGCAAGGCTATAAAAACACCCTTCCTAACCAACAACTCCTTTACACCGATGGCAAATGGAATATCAAGCTTTAGCGTAACCGACTAAACAAATGCCATCAAATATAGTCTTCTTCCTCTCTATTCCTCAGTTCTTTAAGGGGGAAAGTCATTTCCCATGGAATTGGGGGAGTTAGAGGCTGGTGTCCATTGACGATCGCCATCAGAGTTGACCCCTTGCGGGAAACCAGGAGGTCGCAGTTTTGATCTGAAATCATTATTTTTTTTCCTTTGATGGAAATATATTTTCTAAGAATATGAACCAAACTCTGACCAAAATAGTTGAAAATTGAATGTATGAGGTGATTGAACAAAATGTCATGTTTTTATATCATTTTTTTCACCTTTCTTACATAAAAAAATATATTTTACTTAATAATATCATTCCAGAGTTTGGTTCATATTTTTCGGACTTGAATAAGGAATATTTACATAAATTTTCAGTTCGATTCGTCAATAACTTTCCGAGCTAGGATGCCCGCATATTGAAAAAATTCGTTTCGAGAAAAACGCATTTAAAAAATGCAACCGCTTGGGTCTATAGATCGCGCGCCACGGCCTGATTGCTCTTATCATCGGAACTACAGGGTATATATTTTTCAAACATTTTTTATACCCGTTACTCGTAGAGTAAAAGGGTATATTGTATTCGTGGCCCGAATGGGCCACTGTGAAGCCAGCCGAGGCAGCGATATGAACGAAGTGGTGTTTTATACATAAACCGCAATCTCGAAAATTCTACTTTCACAATATCCAAGAAAATTAATTTATATATGGTATAATTGCATTTATTTAATTACGTTCTTAAAACAACTTGTACACTTAGTTAACATGAGCTCTTCTACTATGTTGCTCGCTCCTTGAATATAATTATACTAGAAACTTGGCATTTAATTTTGTTCGAAGCTAATTTTGAGTTTAAGGGGACCCCCATTCTCGATTTCAAATTTTGACGATTTTCAATGGGCTGGTAAATGTACATTTATTATTTTGTAGGCTTGTAACTTTGCATCCATTTAGTTGAAGTCTTAAAAACTAAGAAAAAAATTTAACATTTTTTATTTCTTTTTTTTGTTGTTGTTTTTTGTCATTGAACAAAAGCCCTCCTTTTCGGCGGCGCATGGGATTTCAGCTCACTGGAACATCTGAAACCAAAAATTTCAACGGGATTAGGAAGAGTACATGCATGGCTATAGCATGAACTAAGATTTTTAAAATCGCACAAAAATTAACAAAATGGCGGACCTTTGAACATTTTTTTTTTTAATCACCTTCAGCCAAAAATCAAGTTGAAAAGTAAAGAAGATCTTCACCGATTTGATTTATCCTAGTTCATGCTATACCTATATATGTATAGAATAAAGTATTAAAATTTGGAACCGATTGGTTTAATAGTCTTTGAGTAACCTCATGCGCCAGTCGTAAAAATACTGCTTCGAGAAAAACGCGTTTAAAGTTTTGAAAAGCTATCGCCGTCGCCTGAGGCTTCCAAAATAAATCGGCTTTATCTTCAACAGTTTTTGACATTTTCACTTGAATATAGGTTTTCACTAGGTTATAGGTTCGAATTAAATAAAAAAAAAATCAATTTTTTGAAACCGAGAATGGGTGGGGGGTCCCCGTAAACTAAAGTGTTACGCTTGTGTACCTAAGTTTTGATTAACATCTATTTTCGGTAACTTTCTTATTTTCTAAGTCTATTTTAGGTAACACGTAGAGCTTGATTAGATTTTTAAAAATTTTTAATACTCGGACAGCCATAGCAAATATCTTTAAATAAATTTGATTTTTTTTAAAATTTTTTACATGGTACTAAAATACATAAAACATCTATAAACATTGTATTGAAACTTTTATGTAATTTCTAAGATGGACTTATTGGTGGTTCTAAACTTAAATTTCGTAATATCCATCTATACATCGACACTAACATTACTAATTTGCTTATGAATATAATTCATAAATATTTTCATATATTGAAAAAATATAACTAAATTATAAAAAATAAACGGGCTGGTTGTGCTTAATACAGTCTAAAATCCAACTAACACTTTGCTAAATAAATAAAGGAACTAAAAAAAAAATTGATTAGCACTTTTTGACTTAAAAAATATATCCGGCGTTTTAAAAAGATTTTCACTCTTCTTCGTCGCGTGCCTGCTGGGAAATCCGGGGACTTCCATTCGACACCTCTCGTTCCGCATAATTTGTTTTTCATATCATCGACTCAGAATTGAACTAGATGCCGACGAGTTCGAGGAGAAGGCGGACTGAAGGCTGGTCATGGAGCCCTTATAGTTGGCTGAGCTAAGCACTTCGTAGAATATATTTAATTGGGCCCCCGATGGACTAAACCAGTGCATTAAATAGCTGTCGTTGTGGTTCATTATGTGCGAGCCCTGCACGCTCTCTTTGTGGCGGCAAATGAGGGTAGGTTCCTCTCGAAAGTAGTTGACACCCTCGACGAAGTCCTGCAGATCAAAGTACGAGACGGCAGAATCTTCAAAGAAAGAAACAAATTATATGGAAATGTAAAGCACTGATGCAGTCTGTTAGGTACAGAAAACAAATATGAATTTCTAAAAAGTTTAGGCAATTACAACGTCGTGAGCGGATCAAAGCCTAAACGCACAAATCAGAGGATTGACAAAATTAAAAGGGAGTGGCCAAAAGTTCTATAATACACTAATGGCAAGCAAAACTATTTATTAAGAGCATTAGTAACTATGGCCTTCCGCTCGTTTGGGATGACTGTAGTAATTTAATTTAAGGGAATGAGAGGGAATTTCAGTAAAAAGGAGACATTCCCGACATTAATATTTATGGATATTTATTATATCTATGGAATTACGGTTTTAATTAAATTAAAATCGGTAAAATTAGAAAAAAAATTATTTTGCTGTTTATTTTTTAATCAAATTACGCATTAGTTTTGTCAAAATCGGACAATAATGTCATATAGCTGCCATAGAAACGATGGCAAAATGCAGCTCAAAATCGACATAGCTTCATTGTTATTAGTAATATAGGCATAGAAATAGAAATGTAGTCGTTTTGTAATAACTGAAAGAGTATATAAACTTCGGCTTGCCGAAGTTTGCTTCCTTTTTGTTGAAGAAATGAAATGATTTTAGTTTGTTTTCGTTGGTAGGGCCTTGATTAAATTACTAAGGCTAGTTTGATAGTTTGCCTGTTAAACTGTTGTTACTTGGTGTAGTTTGGAATGGGCTCTAATTGCTGAGTTTTATATTGCTTTTATGTGGTTAATTGGGCGTGCTGATGCGCTTCCATATTTTGGTAAGCAGTGGTCAATTTTGGAAATTAGAATGGATTTAATAATTTGGATAAGGGAAGAGGTGTTGGTACTGCATTTTGGGGAAGAGAGGTGTTTGATGGTGTTTAGGGGTTTGCAAAGGCTTTCTTTTAATTTGTGTATGTGGGTGGACCAGTTGTATCTATTGTTATTGATGAGGCCTAAGATTTATGTGGTGTAAGTTTCTGCGATAGTTAGGGAGCCAGTATATATTATATATTGGCTCTGCAGTTGTTTTTGCTGCATACGTGTAGGTGTTAACATTTATTTATACCGACATGGAGGATCCTGAGTAGGTACACCATTCGATAATTTATTGGAAGATGGATGTCAAATTTATGGTGGGTTTTTTTTTTCGGACGTTGATGCACTATGATCGGCGCAAACAAGTAGCCCTTACGACACCAAACAGTACTTGTTACGCGGGGAGCTCTATTCCCCAATGGGCGTAAAAAACGAGATTGCGAGAAGAGACAATATAAAACCGGACAGACAAAGCTAGAAGTCTATGCGACCCAATAACTCGGGACTCTCCACATCCCCGTGAATAAGTTTATGAATAAAAGTAGTGCCAAGCATCGTTCTAAGGTTTAATAAGGAAGGTAGATTAATTAGAAGAAGTCTACTAGTGTAGGATGGTAAAATAAGTTTTGCATTCCAGTTAAGGCCCCGTAGGGCAAATAATAAAAAGTTTTTTTGGCAAAGACTCTATCCGGTCTATATGTAAAATTTACTAAGGACTCCAAACTGTACGCCAGGATTGGACGGACTAATGAAATGAACAAAGTCTTTGTATCACAGGGATCATCGAATTCCTTTAACCTCCTTTTAATAAATTTAAGTACGCCACTGGCTTTATTCACCATGAAAAAAATATGGTCCCAAAATTTTTTTTTTTTGTTTTAAACATTTTTATTTTATTTATTGGATCTTCTCTGAATTGAGACTAACAATAAGTATATGGAATCTTAAATTAAAAAACTATCTGAAAGTCAAGGTGACTGGCGCGAGATTTAGGGGCTCTAATATCTATTGCTGAGCTGGATTGCGTTGCAATCGGGTCCGTATGGAAACCCTGGCTAGGCCCCTTGCGAGCTGGTTTGGATGGGAAGTTAGCTTGGTGTGGTACGACGCTTTTTGTTTTGATATTTCATCTTTTACGGGTAGAATGCCAAGATCTCTGTGGATGTTGTCGTTCCGAACATACCAAGGTGCCCCAGTGATAGTTCCCAGGATTTTTAATTGTGCTCTCTGAATAATGTCGATGTTGCTGCTGATCGCGTTTCCCCACAATAGGGCGCCGTAGGTCCAGACTGGCTAAAGCGTTGAATTGTAGAGCAGGACCTTGAAGTCCAGGCAGAAGGGAGAGCGCGCGTTTATAAGCCAATGGAGACTGTTTGATTTTAGTTTTAGGTGAATTTTCTTAGGTTCGATATGTCTCCGCCATGTAAGTCTCCTGCCTAGGTGGATGCCAAGGTACGTTACATCGTCAGCTTGTGGAATTGGCTGGTTATTCAGGGTTAGCGGGGGACACGTTTGTCTGTTAAGAGTAAACGTTATGCTGTTGCCTGAATTGGGCATTTGGCCCGACTTATGATCGCGGTATCGTCTGCGTAGTGTTGTAGTAGTGTTGCATCTCACGGCGAAGGCTTTGTTGTAAAGGTTCGATTCAAGTATCCTGTGAGTGTTTCCCGGCAGGATCGTTCCGATTTGATGCATAAGACCATCAAGCCAGACTCGGTCGAAAGCCTGTGCAACTTCAAGGAATACCGCACTGCAGTATTCCCGAAGCGCGAATGCAGTCTGTATTTCAGTTGTTAATGTGTTGACTTAGCCTCCAAAAGAAAAACGAAAATTTTGAAAAAGTGGCGATTTATTTCTCAACATAATCTCCTTTTAGCTCGATACACTTGACCCAGCGATGCTTCAACGGGTTAAAGCCGTCTGAAAAATACGTTTTCTCGAGGTATGCAAAATAGGCCTCTGTGGGGGCGACGACCTCCTCATTCGACGCAAATTTCTGTCCAGCGAGTGACTTTTTCAAGTTTGGAATCGGCCCAATAATTCGGCGTAGTACAGCCCTGTGACCGTTTTGCCCTTCTCCAGGTAGTCGATGTAGATCACACCTTGTGAATCCCAAAAAACGGTGGCCATCACCTTTCCGGCCGATGGGACAGTCTTCGCCTTCTTCGGAGCAGGTTCGCCGGGTGAAGTCCACTGTTTCGACTGTGCCTTGGTCTCTGGTGTGTACCAGTGGATCCATGTTTCGTCGACAGTCACGAAACGACGCAGAAACTCCTTCGGATTGCGATTAAAAAGCGTCAAGCACTGCTCTGAAGCTTTCTCATGCCCAAAATTTCATGCAGGATATGATTCACGCGGTCTTTTGATATGCCTACTGTCTCAGCTATCAGCCAATACGAGATCGTGGATTTTTGTCACGTTATCTTCCGTGGTAGCCGTTTTCGGGGCACCTGGGCGTGGCTCATCAAAAACCGATGTTGAAACTCGTTAAACCAATTTTTGACGGTCGCCATGGAAGGAGAAGAGTCTCCGTACACAGCATCCAAACGCTCTTTGATTTCGCTGCGCGATTTCCCTTCCAAAAACAAGAATCGAATCACAGACCGATATTGCTCTTTCTCCATTTTTCTAAAATCCGCGGACACGTCCGATTCCACACGCAGTCAAAACAAAACTACGAGTCCGATTCGGCTGTACTACACGATAGTAAATTTCTCTTGCAATAGTGACGCCATCGGGCGGTGAGGCTAAGTACTTATCGCACTGCCCTCGTATAGTTGCCTTCCTTTGAGGGTCTGTGAAGCAGGGTGGGCAGTAGATAGCGGCAATGGCAAGGTTGCAGTTGCCCAACTGTAATTTTAACGATGTAGCTTGCAGATGAAAGTCGTGTTTGACGCGGTCTCAGTTCCGCCATGCGCTTTACCATCTGGATGATCGGGGCCGTAGAACGTGTATTCCCGTATTTGAAAGTTATATTTGCTGGTAAGATGCGTTTTTGCCAGCAACATCACGTCGATGTGGTTTTCGTTCAGAAATTGAGTTATTTCAGGTCTATGCTATGGTCTGCTGAGCTGCAAGCATTTGTAACAAGATATTTTGGTTTTGCATAAGGGTTTGCATGGTGGTTTTCATGAAGGACATAAATATTATCATACTTTGTTGCAAAGTAATGATCATAGATTCCATGTTATTTTGTTGCTGTTCCATGGCCTGCTGGATGTTATCAATTTTCGGCTCTATGTGAGCTGTGCCTGATCTTAGAGCACTGGCGTAAGAAATTCTGTTGGTGGTAATTGAAGGACCAAATGATGATCTGGCTGCTTTTACGAAGAAAACTTCCGGTGTCGTTTGTGATCTCATGTAAGTGTTTTGGGTGTTCAGGGAGCGTGCCGTTGTCGCTCGTTGCATCTGACTTTTCATCACCTTGTAGACTGGACAACCTCTGTAGTTTGATGTGTGGTTTCCTTGGCAGTTTACACAATTTTTAGTGAGAGAGTCTTCCTTGTTGGCAGGGCAGGGTTCGGAGCCGTGGCAGTTTCCACAAGCTACACATACTGACCTGGCAATTTGTGCATTGCACTGGCCTGGTCCGTTTGTGCGACTCTTCGACTGTGATCCTACGGTGCAGAAGGTAATGCAACTTGTAGATTGGGTGCACTGCGTTTTTTTTCAAAGTTCTGCTGTCTGACTCCAGCTCGACCTTGAAGAGTTGTTGCGGCTTCTTGTTCTTGTTCATAATGTTTATAACATTTTTTGCGCAAAATCCGTTTTCTTTTAAGACCTCTGTAATTTCGGAGGGGGTCACATCGGGTTCTATTCCCTTGAGCACAATTTGCAAACCTTTGCAACTTTTCAGCTGGTACGTGTAGTAATTCTTTTTGGCATCGTTTAAGTACTTCGACACTGCTCGGAAATAGTCTTCGGTTTTGGTTAATTTATTCCCTTTCATAAGCGGAATAACATGAAAGTTATCTTTTTCGACAAGCTCAACTATTTTGTTGACTAGGGCATTCGAGATATTCTCCCGAGAATAAATAGGTAAGAGCTTTAGTTTCCTTGGGACTAATTGTTCAGACTCTGCTTCAGGCTCCGCCAGAATGGAAAATCTATTTTCATCGAATGGCCGGGATTTTCAGGGCCTTTGCTGGAACGATTTATTTTGC